TATATATATATCTGCCACAAAAGTTACATGTTTCATATTTTACCGCCTTAATGACAAATTCAGTCTTGCAATTATCTTTTTTTGGTATGATACTTTGTTCTGCTATTTAAAAAAGATTTGCGCTACCCGTTCAGTACTCCTCATACCGGATTGGCATAACCTGCTGTTTGCTATGTGTTACTATTAGCTATTTGAATATATTTGTTAATCTTTGGGTCAAGTTGTATTTTGGGTTTGAATTCGAAGATAGACGAAATGCCAGCGATGTCGAAACTTAGATCTCATAGATATTATCGGCTTTATCCGTATGACTACCAACTATGTTTGGCAATTTCTGTATATCATTTACTGCACAAACTGCAATGGAAATAGAAATACAATAGTTCAGCTTTGGATCATCCACTAGACCGAAGAATACATAGAGTAACTGTATGGATTTTTCTTTTCAACGGTTTCCTCAACCGTTTTTGTTTGTCGCGTAATTGTTGCGCCATCAGCCACGGAAGGCGTCGCTATTTAACACCTTCGACCATTGAAACCAATTTTCCGAGGCGAAAATGAAGAGGGGCGAGTGGGCGTGTTATATACGATTTGAACTACTGCTGTCATTCACAACAACTGGAGCCCTGCTCTGTCTAATGGTAGCCAGTAAAAAGTTCTTCCATTGCTATTATCGATGCTGCCCGTACGGGTGACACGCCGCGTGAAAGGGAGACTCTGTGAAGCTGCCAATCGACTGGCTGACAGGATGATACTCTAGTAAAGCGTGTTGTCTCTTGCTCTTTCCTGGACTTTATCTATCTCATGGAGGGTAAACGGCTCCCAACATACTGTGAAACAATCAAGGAATGATTTTTCCTTTGCTTCGCGATCCTTGTTGCGTCCAGTCGCTACTGCCTGTTCCGATCAAAATCATTTTACCAAATCAGCTTAACGCATTGGACGATATCTATAGCACGAGTTCGGTGCCGCGTTCACGTTTCGGTTGCAGTGACGTCGGCCAGGTGGAATACGTGTGAAAAGGATTGCCAGATGATTTTGCGACGCTGCTGGATTGACCTGCCGCTGGAGGAAGGCACCATACATAATACAAAAGTAATGCTACTGTAGAGTGTGTATTTCTATATTGATACAATATTTCATCCGTCAAAAATCGTTCGACTTATTTCTTTGTAAGTATCCAAATAGATAAGAATAAACGCATCTTCCTAATCGATAAGTGCTTACTCAGAATCAAGGGATTTTCTTGGGTGCGCATTTTAAAATCTATAAAAAAAACAATGGAAAATAAGGATTAAATAGAAAAATAGCCAGAACAGAGATAGAGCGAGCAAACAGAATCTGAATATTGAGCCTTGCTTAGCTTAAAGGAAACGCATACGTTACCATAAATTATGTCCATTGAGCTAATCACTTCGGACGATAAATTTAAATTAAATGATAACTTATGTTTTGATGCAGACTAGGAAACATCATTTTTTTTTATCGAATTAAATAGACGAGTAAGAGCAAAATGGCACTAATGGACAACCGTTTCAATTACCTGCAAGATAACACTGGAACACTTATAGCTTATAATATACTACTAAATGTTTCTGCATATATATATATATATATGTATAGCAAATGGTGAAGGTGCTTCTGTCGTGTGAAAGCTGAGTTCCGTTTTATATTTTCATTCATGAACACACCTAAATCTCCCGGTTTCTGTGATCAATGCCTTTTCGTGCTTAGCGTCAGATGATTGAACCGGTAGGCAATACTTCGGACATCCCGATGCGAGTATATACACTCCCAGATTCAAACCCAAACAGCCACACGTCGCTAGGATTACCGGACAAACACGTTACCTACAACGCTGTAATGAAAAAAGTTACGTATATATATATATGACCCTTATTTTTTACTGTGTATGTATATCTAAGTTAAATTTATCTCACTGCATATGTTCGTCCGTGCTATTGCTGCCTAGAAATACGCTATCACTGACGAGTTCACTAACGAACGCTATTACCATACATGTTGGGCTAAAAGTTGGTAGACGGTTTGAAAAACTGGGCTCTTTGGTTGGTTAGCTGCCCTTGATTTTACGTCTGTTAAGATTGTACGAGGCAAATTAACGCAATAGAAAACCAATACAGCACATTTTTAGTGGGGAATGTCGCAGCATCAGCAACTGTCCTAGCTACACTAACAATGGCCACTCTGCCCATTCAAACGGCTAACGTTTCCCATAATAGGTTTAGCGTATTCGAGTGTCCCGATGAGACAAATACGTTGTGCAGTGTAATCTGCTCCTTAATATTCCTAATAATTGTCCAGAAACTGCTTTCAAGAGACGTTTGGGTCGCTCTATATGTTCATGGCAACAGGTGAAAATCGAAATTTCTTCAAAGGCAGATCCTTGTCTGTGTCTGCTCGTGATCTGATGCTTGCATGAGTCCTATTCGAACTTCCTCTCAAAGCTTGTAGTACGATTCTGGCGAACACAATCAGTTGTGTCACAACAGAATTGCTTCTAACATTATCTGATTTTTTTTCTGAAGTTTTATCTGATTTTTACTTTATCCGAACATGTAGCATGGTAGCCTGTGTGAAACAACTGGCCAGGAAAAGTGGACAGCCATTCCTTGCCCAATTCAACAAACGGCAATTCCCTGCTCCACTTTAGAGCTCATCAAACCTGCAGGGACGGCTGGGTTCACTGTGAACCGCAGGTCAACCATACAGCCTTTAACGAAAAGCATAAGATGGCACCCTGTTCCATATGATGATGAAAACTTTAGGATCAAACAACACTAACTGCAATCCATATGCGCGACATGATTAATAAAATGAATTTTTCCAGTGTTAGGTCGATCGCAACACAGTCCTTAGTAAAAAATATAAAGCACTCTTTACTGTTGTTGGGTTAAAATGCATTTTAAGTACGGTTAGGTTTGGGTATGGTAGATCAGTGTAGCTATGCTACTTGAATTGAACACATGATACGATCTAGTAGGAACTAGATATTGATTTTGTTGTTGGGCGCTCGATTTTGTTTTGCATCGGGTCATGAATTTTAGCACAATATGCTTGGGCGATTCCGTTCACCGTGTCCTTTTAAACAGCTGTGTGTAAGTTATCGTGCCGTGAACTTTTGCCAATCGTTTACTAAGCGTGAACTATATGTTGGAGTAGCGAAATTGCAAATTTAGACCGTCTTTGGGAGTAGTATAATCTTTCATAATTACCTCAAAAAGTGTTTATATTAGTTAGCAATGCAAACGTAACTCATCGCCATACGTGGTGCCCTATGTATGTGGAAAACCCGCGTGTAGTAAAAAACAATGGCCACACATTTACAACTCAAAAATTCTATTTTTTCATTGCGCTTTACACTTGTTTACGCAAGGTCTGCAGGGTTTTTGGTTATCGCACGCAAATCTTTTTACCGTTTTGCAGCTTCGTTTGATTCTCATACTCCACATTATAGCACGTCGGGCAGGATGTCCTGCTGAGGCCCGTCATCTGTTCTAAAATGGATGTTTTTCCTCCCCGAAAGCGACACGGATGTGCTGTTATTAATTATGCCACAAAGATTACGCAACATAGAAACAAAAATACAATTATATATACGATGCTGCTTCTATTCACAGGTGAACAGGACTTGGTCCTAATAAACGATTTGCTAAGATCGCAGCAGGGACTCGCTGCATAGCTAGCTTATACAGCTGTTTACCGGAAGAATAGCGACAGCATCTCTAAAACAAGGCATGTAGTTCTAGAAGCAGTAATGGTTTGTCTAAAGAAACGCTTCTGATTGTAACTGTGAGACATGTTACTGACCCACGAAACATGCGAACCCTAAAACTAATGCATGTTATGCTCTAAGTCAGTGTTGGCAGATCAAGGTGTGTTATCGGCAATAAAAAGAGCAATGCGTTTTTTAAACATTACCCAATTATATTACCGGAAAACGTAGCAGTCACAAATAACTGTCTATAGGTGAAGAATCCGGTCGAGAAACCTTTGTACAGTTTGTTTGAAAAATGGCATTAATCGTTTCATGGTGTACAGGCGACGCCATTGATTTTTAAGCTTCAGTGCAAAAAAATTAGTTATTTTTTTGCATTGATAAATTTTCTTGTTTGTTCTGTTGCATTGCATTTTTACCGAGAGAATATTATGCACAAACAAGTTGCCGAAGTATTAACTGGTGCTTATTGCAGCTTTCAGAATGAACGCCATCGAAATTCTGAAGGGGTTCGGTCTCTGTGCCTCACTAAACCTCTACTACGTCGAAGTATTTTCTGTTGCTGTCACACTCGTGGTATATACGTGCATGCTGGCTATTGCCCTTGGCGTTGTTCAGCGAGGGACTTCTCATGGAGTGCCTTTGAAGAACTTCGTTTCTGGGGTCATTATGTCAGCGCTTGCCCTAGCGTTTACAGGTAGCTACAACAACCTGCATCTAAAGATTAAGACGTGATACATTGTATTACTTTTGTCTAAGGCACTGCTGACATAAAAGTTCTAACGAGAGAAGAAGCGAATCATAATGAATTATTTCCTACATCGCAGTTAGTTTCCAAAACAAAATCATTTGGCTAATTCCGTCTTTTTTTGAAATAGATCCCTCGGCTGCTAAGGGTCCTGCCTACATGCAGAATACGTGCGGTGTATTTACTCAGCTTATCGTCTGCCTCACAATTCTTGCCTATTCGGCGGACTTCAACAAAGATGCACGACTGGCTGCCGCTGGAACTGTGTTATTCTCTGTGTTGGCCAATATGCGTGCACACGCGCTTCATGTTTTAACCCTATGGAGTTCTGTGCATTTAGCTATCATCCCGACACTCGACTACGTAACGGCTGTGTTAGTTAATTGTTTGCATGTTTTTTTACATCAAACACACTGACTATACTGTCAGTTTAAGGACACTTTTGAAACGGAATCACAAGATAACGAATCACTAACGAAATAAACTATCTTCAAGGACAAAAAATGTCAGCGTATCGGTTTCACCTTATCGCGTAGCTCATCATGGGCGTCAGTGTACTATATTGTGGTTGACAAGCGTAGTTCCCGTTGCCTCTATTCTGTTAAAACAACAGTAAAGCCTCGTTGAAGCTCGTACCACTAAAGAGTGTTATCTTCTGCTAACAGGTCCATTCCTCGAGTGAATGTGACCACTTTTTTGTAACGTGGAAAGTGGGTATTTACCAGCTATTCTTCCTGCAAAGGATCTTGTATACTACTAAGGTGTAAAAATTCTATTTTCCCCCATATAAAAGTGTAAATTTAGCATGTCATATACAGCGTTGTCCTTTTTGTAATGCTTTGTTTCAGGCGGTCTGGCGTATCCAACCCACCTGACCTTGTCATGCTAATTTTGATGGTGTCGGGAACCCTATCACTTCTCAGTTGGGGCACTTTCATCTTGATGTCAGGTCTACAACTAATGGCATTTACCAATTTTGTGGGGGCAATCGTTGCCATGGCCACTTTGAAGAATATGCTAGCGGCAAAAGTCAAGGCAGCTTGAGAATTTGTTTTTTTTTTTCCAGTAAAGCCTCATAATGATGTTCGTATTGGCCAGTTAAATCTGCAAGTATAGCCGACATTGAAAAAAATAGTGAACGCCAACTCTTGGTTACATATTTCGTATCTGTAATATGGTAGACGAAAAACAATAGGAACTAACTGTCATGTGATGACTAAAGTCAAAGTATGATCTGAAAGGACTGCAAGCTTCTGCAGTGGAACTCAGATCAGACTTTATAGTTAACAGAAGTTTCGAAACAGCATTGACACTACTCGTCTAGCTTTGTACGGCGACAACCGGTGCGTTAGTGGAAAACATAGAGCTAAGAAACTAACAAAATGTAGTAGAACTTCTGATAGGTAATATATTTTGTACCGAGTTTAAGGAAGCCTACAAAAAACCTAAGAAATAAGTGGAGGCTGTATAACAAAAAGATGCGACTAAATAACGAACCTACTTGAGCTTTGACAAGAAGCATTATATAAAATAATCAACATTTGTTTTAGTAGCCGAACTATTCTGTCTTTGTAGAGATAGACAGTCATAGAATGAAGACCAGGCTGTTTGTAAGCTATAGAACTTTGAAGAAATTGGATAGGATGTAAGGAATATTAAGATGTTTTGTATTTACCATTAACAAGCCTGGGCATTTAGAATTCATAACAAGGAAAGAAGTGCCGATCGTGACGAAATATGGAGTGTTCTATAGCAGATCTCAAACGCGACCAGAAAACAGAAAATGCTCTATTTTATTTTGAGCTACTTGCTTCGTCGTCTGGTCTCGACAAGCTATTGCTCGTTTTGTCGCAGGTATGAATTACTCAAGATCTTCGAAGTGTAACCAGTGGAACAACGACAAATAAAGCGGAGCGGACTTTTCAATGTAAATCATAGATTTTTCGAGTTCTTCGAAGCAAATTGAAATACATGTTGTGGGGCAACTTGTTGCAGTGCGCATGCGCTTTCCCACTGTTTTTATTATTTTTCTGACTAATTAATCAATCCGTCATGATAAAAGTAAGACAATTGTCTTTAGAACATGAGTAAACATCAGCCACAGTCCGGGCGCTTCAAAAGCAGGCAAATCCCCCAACGAGATTATGGATCACCGACACAGTTTTCATTTTCCATGCAGCTTGAAACTAATAGGGGGAAATTTTTTATTTAGCGATGTGAAGAAGCTAGAATAGGCGTTAAACTTCAGTTAGAAAATTTAATTATTATTATTATTAGAAAATTATAAGAAAATTAAAGACTATTTCAGATGTCGGAACGTAAATATTAATGGAAAGGAGACCATCTATCCTCCAGATAAACATAAAACTTTATTTTTGGCTTTGCTTTTGCAGCTTTGATTTTTTGTAGTCTTGAATTTTTTTACTATGGAGCCCTATGATCATTTTAAGCTCAAACTTGGAGTCAGCTAATTTTTTTTATGGCGTATTTAAATGGTCCGTGAGGGAGTCGAAACGTACCAATCTCACTCGCTCGTAGGTACTATTGGAAAAATGTTGTAAATTTAGAAGACATTTTTGTTAAGTTTTCAAGTTGAATACGCGATACAAGCGAATTAGATTAAATAAGCACTTGTATAAAAATGTATCTGCTGGCAGGTACAAAACATTTCATTCAAATGTTCAAATGTAGCTAATAAAATACTTCCATGACATCAGTTTTATCCATATATATATTAAAACTTTGTAATTGTTAGGTAGTATCAGAAGATACATTCAATTATATACTTATATGATAATTTCACAATGTAATGGTCTTGGCTTGAGCTGATCACCTTTTCCTTGTAATGTTTTAAAGAACATAGCTAACTTGCAATCGTTAAGCTTAAAAAGTATCGAATTAGGTTGAATTAGGCCAATAATTAATTAATTTGAAAAAAAAAGCGCCATTTTTTCTTTAGATTACGAAAGTAGTTGATTTAGTTACGAAACAGTGTACGCGTATCCACCCGTTGATAACGCGTAATACCCGTTGATATGATAAAAACTATGTCTGATTTTCTATATGAGTTCGCATGTTTTTTTTTTAGTGAGGTACATATCCTTGTGACTCAATTACTTAAATTGTGCCGCATCGTTTGCAGTGTTTGTTTAATCCTTAGCCCGTTTAACAGGAAGACTGACCTTCTGAGCTTCCTCCATGAACATACGGACATGAAAATATGGCCACATGATTTTAGAATGTAACAATATTTTCAATAGATCGCTAAAACCCACTGCTTTTATAAAGGATCAGTTACATTTTAAAAAAAAATTGTATTATACTCGAATATACATGGTTGTGAGTTGAAACCCATATAATTAGCTCTTTTTTCTCTTATACATACGATTATCTTCTTATGCGAGCATATTGATCTCGCCTCAATAATCAATACACTAAGCAAAATCAGATTTATCAGAGCTTCAACGCTTCGCAGCAAATATATATATATAGACAGATATTCTGCAACAATAATTTCTGCTTTAATTTTTATCGTAGCCTTTGGCGCGACGACGTCCTCTGCTGCTCTTAAGCATGAACTATTTACCACTTGTTCAAAATGGAGGCCTTTGACGCAAGCCCTTAATCTGCTCTTTGTCTCTCCAATTACGTAATATAGCTTAAAATATAAAAATCGAATTCGAGATAGTCTTCATTGACGACGGGTGCCAGAAGCTTCGATGACTCTAATTATTAGCAGATTTTTCTTATAAATTGCAGCCACAACGCCGTTGCATAATAAACTGTACAAGCTGCCTGTATCCTAAAGAAAACTATGTCAGGCTATCGGACGTGGTAGTGTCGTTAGGCAAACGTATGGACAGAACAAACTCCAGGTTCCTTCTAATCAAAACGGAGTATTAGAATCGATGGTATTTCTTACATTACCAGCTCCCATCTGCCTGACTGTCTTGGTAAACCAGCTTTACAATTTTCATGACGTCAACAGATTAAAGACTTTTTAAATGTATTTCGATGACTGAACAATGAACCACGTCTAGAAAAATGGTAGACACAGATACCATTTCAGAATGATTGAAGTTTGCGCGCTTGGCTTTCAGGCGAATACCCCGTCAGCTCTCAAGTGGTCCGCCAGCCAGCCAGCAATACTAGCGAGCTGTGTTTTTACAACCGGCGGCCCTGTGATCGTATCCCCACATAGCTGACCTTGCCGCCATTTTGAAGACGACTGAAAAGTTCTAGCCACCATTTCAACTTCATACCTTAGAAACCTGCCCTCAGAAGCATATACATACATACATGTTTTTTTTAACTAAGTTCTTATTATTTACACGCTTGGCCGCTGCAGTATATTGCAACAGCCTTATTTGACAGACTAGCACTAATTATTTAGTGCGCAGGCGACTTCGCGTTAAATAGATTATCAGTGCACCGTTGAAACTCTACCTTAAAGTAAAAAACCATATTCTAGCAGTTCGATTCCGATACTTGAACCACTTTCAGCTCAACGCTGTATTCCTCTGATGGTCTGGTTAAGGTTTTACTCGTTACGTGACCTGGATGTGGTTTAGGCGAATGTAGCCATTTTTCCCTTGCTTGTTTCCAAGTCTCAACCTTACACACTTCCTATCTAGTTGGCCTTTTCCGTAAACAAAACACGTATCTCATGCGCATTAGTTACACTGGCCTGCTCTTTGTTGTTTCCGTCGCCCTACTGCATTGAGAATATTATTCGAAATAGCAGCACTATCGGCGCTAGCGTACCCCTCAGACCGTCCCATCTGAATTGCTCTACAGTGCTAAAGTCAATGGCGTCTGGAACTCAACAATGCTCGGCGAGTCATGCGAATTACGACCTTAACCGTTCTTGTATCGTTCCGACATTTCCTTCGCCCCTGTCAATGTTTGCTTTGTAAACTGGAACTCCAGCAGGGACTCTTGATGATGATTCTTTCCTTAGAAGCAGTTTTCCTGGCCGAATCTACCCTTAGGCTGCTGTGTGTCAAAAGAAAATAGAGTGTCCAAGAAACTTTCAAATCTGTTGCTATCTTAGAAAGGCTTCAAAAGCGATAACCATACTCACCAATAGATGAATAGAAACACAACAAAAAAAAAATGCTTTACTTATGGTTTATCTATGACTCATCAAACAAAATAACGTGTCTATTTATTTAAAAACATTTAAACAAATCTGAACACAACGATCCACGTTATAGATCTAAAGCAAATAAACTGGAAGCCGACCTTATTAGCATATATGGCTGTGTATAGTTCAAAGCTTGTGGACGTAAAAATATTATTGAACATTCAGATCTGGTTTGAAAAGCATTTTGCTTAAGATTGCGTCTTGGTCATCTTGTTCATAAATATAATACTAAAGAATAACTGAAGAAGGGGCCTTATTGCTTTCTATGTCTCATACTTTCCACAAGTGTTGTTATAACAGTAACTAGGTAGACCTTGTAGGGGCTGGCCTACAAAACGACTAAGGACCCCGAAGTATGATTTTTTGTTTAGAGAATTGACCCTTGTTCGCGTCATTGCAAACGCGCTGGATGGATGCATTCCCAAAATGCCATCAGACGTACATACACTCTAAAATGAGCTAAGTTGCTTTATCGTATCGAGATTCAATGCTTGTGACCACTCGACACACATCTCAACAAGATAGACATGTCACCAACCAACTTACCGAGATCAATTCTTGTTTTTTCTCAACGTGTTTTACTTTCGAATTTGTTTTAATCTTTAAAACAGCTCACGGACCATGGTTCTATTTAATTCGAATCACACTTTTGCTACTTACCGGTAGAGACAAGACGTTTCGCTTTTATAAAGAATACCGAACTTGTTTATTCTAGCAATAGTAATAAAGTTCGCTTGCTTACTTTTACCGATCTGTTGTTCGTTTGAGAGAGGGCGTTAGCTATTTAGACTTATCGTCTGCTAGGAAAACACTGCATAATTTACTGACGTTATTGCTCCAAGTTTTCAGTTTCAAATAACTTGTCCAAATGGTACCAACGCAAGGCCATCAGGGAATAGTTCTATTAAATTTTCTTTGATATGCCATGTACTGCTAGATCGAAAATGTTTCCATAGCGAAACGCACAATCGTAAGGAAGGGGCCGCGACCTTAGTTTCGAGAAATAATACTGTATAATGTATTAATTTAATGCGCTGTCTATTTTAACAAGACATACACCCTTAATTTCTATCTCTATCTCTAACCGCTATATAGCGGAACTGCATTGACGTGTAACTTCTATAAGAGAACGTTACAAGCAGGCATATCTGGCAAGCCTGCTGATGCTCGCAGGCAGCCACGTTTCTGGGGCAAACAAGTATCTAGTCAAAACTTATGAAGGCGAGCGCCCTTACTGTATCAGGGGCACCACGCTGTACGTTCGTGCAGTACTATGTCCAGAGACGATTTGGAAGATTGTAATTCAAAGAAGATAGCTAAAAGTTGATTAGAGACTGTTGCTGTTTGTTCTAGTTGGCATTTGAATGTCGACAGTCTACCTGGTATAGTACCTTGCTAGGTAGTAAAGCTACCTTTTGTTAATAGGATGTTAAAAAGGTTCACATTATGAACTACAAAAACTGTTCGCTAGAACGCTGCCGGTTGGTAGATTTTAGTACCTGTGTGCTATGCTTATCGGCAGTACGTCTTTGTGAGGAAAAATGCTCAGAAGGTTTAGTTAACCTAACAAACTTGTAAAAGATGATGCCCAAGGAGACGATCATTTGGGCCAACTATACGATCCAGATGATTCTCAGCTGAACAGATTGAATTACGCCATGAACAAGCTGACCGAAAAAAGTAGTCTTACGCGCGGCTTGTCCTTAAGCTTAGAATCTACCTGTTGTTGTCGGAGTACAAATAGCGTCTATACGAGCAAGAGCAAAGCTAGTACTAATAGCAAAAAGGACTTCCATAGCTGGACGTAGTTTTCTGTAAGTGAAAGCGCCAAGTTACAATATCAATCTTATCGAATTTTATCTTTCCGAATACCCTTTACGTGTAGTTAAGCTGTGTTGTCTTCACAGTTTTACAGCGGATTACTACACTACAGACCTCTGGATGGTGCTAGCCATCATTGACAGGGCGATACATGGTACCTTGTTGGAAACACTCGCGCAGGCTCGAAATAGGATCGTGTGACTAATTAATGCAAGCTTTTCAAGGAAAAGAAGTATCTCAGAAGTACCTCATTCAGCAACAAGGAATCTTAAGCAATTACGGCATAAACAAAACGAGTCTGCGAAGTATATTGTACCCCTCTTCATGGAACACTTCGCCGCCACAATATAGCCCTCACTAGTATGGATTAGATCGTTATTAATTCACCACCGGGTGCATAAGCAACGTACTAATGAAGTGTGCTAATGGAACGTAAGCACTAGCTATCTGCCACTAGCCAATATTTGCGACTTGCCAGCACGCTCTTACACTTGCATCCAGATTTCGAGACAACATCAGCTCAAAGGGACAAAAAAGACAGTTATACTGCTATCTAAGGTCCGCGATAGGTACCCTACCTATTATAGGAAAACGTAACGGAATATGACAATGGCAGAGAGGAATGGGGAATGAAAAATGAGAATCATGGTATGGTACTTTATATCGGCTTAGTTACCTTGGCCCTACCACGGGTGTGTACCTGAAGGCTTAACCAGAAATGCTGCTGACATTTTACCCAATGGCGTGCCATTGTTTAGAAACTGCAGTGCGAAGAGGTACCTCGAAGAACTTGCGGACCCGAAGACCAAACGTAGTGGTTCAGTACAGTATCTTCACTGCCTATTCGCATTTGCTTCGACGTTGCGGCCAGGGGATGCACCCAGATCCTATACGAGACTCAGCACTGTCGGAAGAATTTCAATAGTCGTAGCCACGTTTATCAGAATGCACAAAACCAGCATTTAAAAAAAACATTCAAAATACATTACACACTCGTGTCTTCAAAATCATCAAGTGGTCCTCGGATGCTTCAACAATTCTGGTTCTATAGCGCATGTTAGTAAAATATCTAAAGGTTAAATAATAAGAGATACAGCTTTTGATCTTAGCAACGTTAAGCGTACTTCCGATTATCGATATGTATGCGTAGTAAGTCTTCACGTTGTCAGCTCCAGGTTCGCTAACGACATGCGACTAAACAGCTCTGGAGATTCGCCAAACTCTAATACCTAGACAAAGAATATTTTGAATGTATTTATCGGATAAGGAATCCTGCTCTATCATATGTAATTGTATGCGGAAGCTAAATTTGTATTGTTATTTGAAAAATAGGTATAAATCATACCACGATCATCATTCGATGGCATTTTCTATGCTCCTCTGCTATTTAGG